AAGGAGCCCGAAAGCTCAGACAAGTAAAATTATGATTCCGGTGATCGCAACGAATGAAGTTATAATAAATCCATGTTTATTGGAAGATAGAGGTCTAGAACCGGAAACAAAAAATAGCTGAATAGCTCTAATAACTTTGGAATATTTAACATAAGTTAGCAGTTTACCTCCGAAAAAAGATATAAATGTTAATTGTTCTTGTCCGGGAGTAAAAACAATTCACAACCATAGTCCAAAAGTTTACCATTATGTGAAAGTGAGTACAATAGTTAATACATAAAAAAACTTAGTTAAATAAGGTAGCATCGCAAGTGCGGGGACAGGTACTTAGCCTCCATCTGATTATCTCCACAGAACACAGCTAGAGTTCTCCATGAATATAAATGTGCTCAATGAAGATGAAAACTTCCCCACTTCCCCCCTATCCGCAAGTTTTAAGAACTAAGTAATCTTCTTCCAAAACAAAATTCAGTCAAAGCGAAACTTTAATAATTATTCGGTAGGGATTTATCATAAGGCCGCTCAATGGCAACAGTCTTCCGGCCTAAGTGTCTTATGGAATTCGTGATTAATGGTTTAATGACTGACCATTGCGTAGTTAAGGCCTGTTTACCGTGTGGTAGGTACACAGTAGGAAATAAATCAAAGCCGTTTGTAATTTATTTACTGAACTAAAACGCAGGTGAAAAGGTGGTGGAAAGAACAAAAATGATCAGGAAAACTGTAAGAGCAACTCCTATTGGTTAAAAAGGGAAGCCTATGGACCAGAAAAACTACTAGAGAAACTCCTAGTACAATAAGGCGGCCCCATTAATTATTGATGATAACATCTTCATGAAACAGGCAGTTGAGAAAGATTCAACAAGCCAAAATATTACACGCGTGGGTTGCAACGGGCATTAAAATGTATGTACAAAATCTTTAATAAAACGGGTTTACTCACCTATCCACTGGTAGAAGGTAGTAATTTGGCTGTCCGGTGGGAAGTATAGAGTTTGCGTGAAGTCCGAGAACATGAGATTGTGCTGCACCCAGTTCTGTCCCGGCACAACGTACTGTCTTGACTCGAAGAGGTTGAACATAGGGCCAGTTGGGTTGGTGACAAAATGGAAGACGAGCTGCTGGAGGAAATCCTTCAGTGGCTGGTGGTCGAGACGTTGAGCGGATGTCATGACAATGCGAGCTGGGATGCGACCCCAGTTGCAGGTTTTCCAGTCTGTAAGAGGGGCAGTCCAGGTTCCGCTTTGGAATAGGAGAGAAAGCAAGGAGAAATGTCAGACTCAGGAAGCAACCATGGTTACTATAAGGGGCTATGTTTGCTGATATCTTGCATGAGCCAAAGTTTGCTGGGGCAGCAGCCCAGTAGCAAAACGGCCTGACAACCTTGCGATACAAAATATTGAAGCACAATAGGTTGCGCAGGTTGATATATTAACTTCTTAGATGCAGGTGCCCCAGATCCCCTTATCTCTTCGTAGTTATAGAAGAGACCCCTCTTTTCAAATTGAAGACCGCGGGGGTGCAGGGGTAATTAATTGTCCTCAGGGATGTGACGTAAGGTACCGTTGGTCAGTATGCTTTTAATTGCTAATCCGGTGGATTTAAAACGATCGTCCAAATCTTTGATGATCCTGCACTTGCTATCGTAAGTAGAAAAGAAACTCTTCTCATTGTTAAAGAACCAGATTTCAAGATGTCTGATCTTAATCAGAGTCCAGCGCTTGGGAAACACTGAAGTTTCTTTCTAAGGGACTAAGCCATAAAGACGCGCAATATGACCTAAATTTTGGATGCACTATAATGAAGTTAATAAGCATGTTTGAGCTTTATTTACGTCAAAATGTGGCGGAACTAAATCTACATTAGGAGCCTTATCTTGTTAGACATACATACTTCGGGAAGTGACCTCGGCTATTCGCATTTACAAGACCCGATCAATTTAGTAGTCTTGCACCCTTTTTGATTTAAGAATAACAGCCTTTTTATAATAAATGTTAATCTTAATACATTAGTTTCGAGTTTTCCATCAAGACGAAGTTATTTTCTTTTGGAGGGTGTGGTACTTACTTACAACAAGAGTACTGTCACTAGGTCACTAAGGTGGACGATGCAATGCTGGTCCTGCGTCACTGATCGGCCCAATATAGCAATTTAGACTAACTTGTAGCTGCAGGCCGACATAAGCTCATTTTTAGCTTTTGCATTTTAATTATAAGCAAGGGGTGGTACGCCCAAATTTTATCGGAATTTCCTTACATATGACGATACATTGAGCCCAACAATGTTGAAATGGCACTGGGGCGCAAATTGGTCAGCTACCGGAATAGTGAGCGGGCGTGAAGATCACTTAAAAACGGAGCTCCGATCAATGCGGTCCATAGTTGTACAAAGACCAGGTAGTACGACAGAAAGTAAAGTATCCTATAGCTGCTGGTGCTCTGGTGCCTCCATGGAAAGTTTATGAAGCAGACCGTTAATAAACCCAGTAGTAAACTAAGTTCTCAGAAGTTGAAGTATTTCAAATCTGCTTTTGTATAGATTCATTTTACTGAAGAAAAAAGTATTGGAAACCAGTCCACAAAACATGAGCAGCTATGTCTGATCAGGGCCATCCTCGAGGGCAATTAGACCACTCATGTTTGTGACTATTGACAGGATTTAAATCGACACTTTGAGATCGAGTTTCGCGATCAAATCGTTAAAACTACCTAACAGCGTAGCCCCTAGCAAACAATAAGCAAGGTGGACGGTCATATACGCGTTTGCAGCAGATCTATAAGAAGGAAAAAACAAGAAGGACTGCTATTGATGGTACCTCGTCATCTTCGAAATACGCATCATGGGGACCGCAAGCGTGACCAACACGTTTTTACACATCTGGCCAACGATTTCGCCTAAGACTTTATGGGTTATCTAGTAGGCCATATTATAGAGCGGCTTTATCTTGCTTTCTGCATGTTTCTAGGCAACTCTACCATCCTTATTTGACGGCCATCACTTTCAGGCCAGGAGAAAGCGTAG